TTGAGTTCTGTCAATCAGGTTGGATGTAGAGTTGAAGTTGCCTATGATGATATATGAGATATTTTTTGAGGAGTTGTCGTTGATCAGTGTTTGGAGATAGGAAGTGGTTTTTTTCCTTGTGTTTGAATCGTGAGGGAGATATACTTGTGTGATACAAATTTTTATTTTGGGTTTGAACTAACGGAAAATTGAGATAATATATCCTTGAAGTTCGGTAGTTTTGTAAAGGTGATTAGAGGAATTTTTGTTAAGAATTATTGATACTTCTGCTTGACTTTGGTTAAGGTTACTTGAGTGAATAATAAAGTTATCAATTGTGTGTGGAATTTTTTTAGTAGTTTGGAGTTTTGTTTCACAAATACCAAAGATGTCATAATTGTTGTTTTTTATGTATTGGAGAAGGCAATTGAGTTTTGTGTGGTCATTGAGTCCTCTAGTATTAAAAGTGCCAATTTCCAATAATTGTTGTTTTGTGTTGGTGAGAGATTTGCTGGGTATGATTTTTGAGAAATCTTTTTTGATTGAAAAATTTTTTAATAGTTTGTTTGTATTAATCATTGTTTGAAGAAATTGAAGAATTTTGTGGATAGTTCAGGGAGTTTGATTTGGATAATATATTCATTGGGAGTCTTTGAAAGGCAAAATGTTTTCTAAGTTTGTGAATTTTTGTGATGAAGTTAGCATCATTGACTAAGGAGATATCTATTTCAATTTTGTTTTGAATTAAGTAATTTTTTAATTCAGAGGGGCTTGAGATGGAGGGTTTCTATTGGATTTGAATCCAGTTGTCTGGAATTTTGGAAAATTGATAATATTGATGTGTTTTAATTATGTTTTCTTTAAGGATTTTTCTGTTTATTATTGGAAAGTTAGTATTGGCTTTTTTATTGACAATATTATAGTTTTCTGGAAGAGAAGATTTGGTTGGAAGTGTTTGAGAGTTTGAGTTTGTGTTTTGATTTGTAATATTGATCCACTCTTTTGATAAAGGAGTTTGGAAGATAAAATTTTTTGAGAGGCTGTTAAGAAGGTGTGGGATGTTAGCTGGATTTGTTACTGGCAGGAGAATGTTTATTTCAAGATCAAGAATTTTGTCAGGTGATGATGGTAGCCTTTTCTTGATATAGAAGAAGTCATTTGGTAGTAGTTTGAAGTAGTAGGTTTTGTGAAGGAGTATAGTTAATTCTTGTATAATTATTAAGCTGTCTCTGGGATTAAAGGGGAAGAAGTTTCGATATTTAGGTTCCAACAAATGATAGGTTAATGGGAGTGGTTTTTTTGGTGGTGGTAATTCGAAGTAAGAGCTGGGAAGATTGGGGGGACTTGATAATTTTCACGAAGATAGCCCTTTAGATTAGAAAGTCTGGTTAATTCATTGTGTTTTTTTATTGGAAAAATCTTTTTGTATTTTGGCAGGAAGTCGGCAGGATTTTCAGATAATGAAGAATTTATTTTGAAAAAACTGTCTGGAAGTTTTTGGAATTTGTAATGAGATCTTAGTATATGTAGAATTGGAACAAGTTAAGATTTGTTTTGCATTGATAGGTTGCATAGAAGCTTGATTTTTATATTAGCTGGAATTTCGTTTGGTGAGGGTAGAAGTTCTGGAAGCAGTTTGTCCACTGATTCCTTGAGTTTATCTTTGAGAATGGTATAGTCAATAAAGAACTGTAGTTTACGAATGAAGTAGTTGATGAGATATGTGAGAAGGCTGGCTAATTTGTAGAAGGGCTTGTTGTTAATATCAATAGTCCTAAGATAGATAATTGATAGAATAGTGCAAACGATTACTCGGATTTTCTTTTTTGTTTTCAGGTTGATAAAGTTGAGATTGCATTCTTTTTTGTATTTTTCTTGGAAGTCCTTTTCAATTTCATTAAATTTCTTTTGATGAGCTGGTTTGATCTCTGTTTTGGAAATAAAAGAGTTGAAGAAAGTGTGGTCCTTGAAGTTAAGTTTGTTAAATATGGGTTGAAGAAGATATGAAGATATTTGAGTAGTTCTTTAATTTTTGTAATAATTTGAATGACTGTATTTATGTCATTTGATGCTGGTAAGAGTTGATTAGCTAAGGATTTTGTTTCCTCATGAAGAGTATCATATTGTTTGTTATCTCAGATTTGTTGTAATTCTTTTTGAGTTTGGCAATCAAAAGAGAATGACCATGTGTTTGATTGAGGTGGCTAGTTATTGTTATTGGTAGATTTGAAGAGTTGATTGAGGTCCACAATATCTTCAAAGTTAATATATTGTGATTGATTTATTGGCTTTATTTCGCTAATATTCATTAGATTGGAAATGGTTATGGAGTTGTTAAGTGAACTAATTATTGGTTGATGGTTGGAAATATTTGATTGTGAGAGATTTGCTGAGGTAGAATTCAGATTAGAGAGTTTCATTGGTTCATCATGTGTTTCACTGATTTCTGTAGTATTGCCATATTGAGAAGGGGCTGGAGTGATGAATGAGGTACTTGCATGTGTTTGCATTGTGGTTGATTAATTGATTGTCATTCCTTTTTTGAAGAACAAGAGAATTAATAGATGATAGATTGTTTTCAGGGAGAAGCTGCATGTGGTTTTTTGTTTTTTCTCCAGAAGAGAGAAGAAATTCTTGATAGCACTTGTGGAGGTATTGGTCAAGTTGAACTTTTTCTATTTCATTGGTAATATTGATGATATAATTAAAGTTGAAGTTATCAATTCTGGAGTTTTGGACGATAGCTTTGATCATAGGAATTGCATCTTTTTTGACAGCAGTTTCTTCAAAAATAATAGTTTTAGTATCTTTAATGGCACTAGTTATTGAGAATTTCTTTGATGTTTTTCCTCTCTTTGATGATGAGAAAGCATTTGGAGTAGTTGATAAGATTGGGAATGGTAATAGTTCTGGCATAATCAGTTTTGTGAATTGTATTTGTTAATAAGTCAAGGTAATAAATTTAGAGTTTGCAATTCCAGTCATCATGGATAGTTGCATGAAGAAATTGTTTTTGATTTGTTGAGAAGGTTGAGGGTTCCATGGTGGGAGTGATTGAGATGTAAAGTACGCTTGGAGGTACCAGGAAAGGAACAAAGTATTTGTTTTAAAGGTTGTTATTATAAAAGAAAATTTTTTGTTAAAAATCGATTTGCGGAAAAGAGTTTCTTTTGATTTTTTAATATAGAATTTATTATTAAATTTTATAAATAATAAATATAAACAAAATTATTATTATTAATTTATTGATATATTTTTTTTATTTTGTATGTAAATAAATTTCAGAGGTATAATTATTATAATTTTGTTTTTTGTTTTTAAAATAATTAATTTATTTTTCATGGTATAAATATATTGTATTGATTCACTTTTTTTAAACTATCTTGATAATATATTAAAAGGATTATTAACATATTTTTATCATAATATTCAACAAAATAATTAAGAAAAATCAAAATATTATGTTTAAATTATATTATTATTACCTTTATAAAAAATTCCAAATTTTAATAAAAAATTTTGTAATTTTTTATAAAAATCTCTTATAGTTTCAATTGGATTATCACCAATTTTAAAATTTTCTTTAAAATTTATAACTATAATATAAGATATTATAGTTACTAATTCAAAAGAGTTTTTATAAAATTTTTATTATTGATTTTTAAAATATAAATATTTATTATAAAAATTAATTTCATTTTGTAAATAATAAGAGAAGTTTTATTTGAATTGGTTTATTGTGATTTTTTTTTAATTTTTCTCCTTCAATATAAATTAAATACATGTCAGTTTTTTTTTTGTATTTTTTTGAAATTTTTAGAATAAAGTTTATAAAATTTATTAAGATTTAATAAATTATGAGATTTTAAAGATATAACTATTTTAATTAAAAAAATTGAATTTTAAAAAATTAAAAATTAAAATTAAAATTGAATAAAATTAATCAATATCACATGATTTGAAATTTAGGGTTAGAAATCTAGGATAATATACAGTATATCTTAAATTTTGGTTTATCTTCAAAAAAAATTACCCATATATAATTATATGATTGAATATTTTTAAACTATTTTTGTTAAAAATATATCATGGCTCATAAATTATAATATATTTATTATAATTATAATTTTATCATAAAGTAAAATAAACCATATATTGAAAAATAGTTAATATGCTAATGATAAATAATAAATAAATGAATACTGTATATTAGTATTGGTAAATAATTTTTAATATTTTTCTATTAATTTGAAATTCCATTTGTTTTTATTACTTCAAATCAAATTGTATACTTTTTTTTTTTTATTAATTTTCTTCAATATAATGGTAATATAATAGATTTTACAATATACTGTACCATATAATAAAGCTAAATCATATAACAGAACAATTATCAACAACGTAAAAATTTTCTAAATATAATCATAAGAAATAAAATAATTGTTCTTCTCTAATAGTTATTCAGATTATTGTTCCAATATAAACTTATATCCCGAAAGATTGTCGATATTTGTATAAAAAAAACTTTTTTTTATTTTCAACTTAAAGATCTTGACTTTTTTCGTAACTTGCAAGGTCCAAACTTAAGATGATTTTGTAGTTTTTTTAATAATGTTTGCATATTTCGTTATCTAAATCGAAAGTTGAGGGAGGCCAAAAATTTATACAACTGAATCAGTTACAGTATAAAGATTTGATAGTTGCATTTAACAATACGGTAAGATTATTTTATTATTTATAATTATTGATTAATCGCATCACTTACTAGCAGCATCCGTATGAAGTTGTCTAATACAGTAATGTACGATAAAAAATGCCAATGATATTGAATTCAATGAATCACGACACAAAGATACTTTTCCCAGATTACGCATGATATCGCCAAATATCATACATTGATCATTGCGACAAGGTGTTATTAAAAATTTCACAATCAATGTACAGCATTGTAAAAAAAAAGAGATTAAAGAAATTGACTTTTAATTGATAATTTTGGCACAAATTTATCGTCTCCGGACAATCTAATGTTCCTGCGTGGTTTCCTCTTCATTCTGAATTGATTGACTCAATCTCATGATCAATTCTTTGATTTCTCTGATTTCGCGATTCCTTTTCTCTTCGTTTTCTCTAAATTTTTTCTCGTGTTCCTTAATCTCCTTCTCCCTTTCCGCTCGTTTATCCTTCATTTGAATCAATGTTAGTAGCTTTGGTGAGATATACGGAGAGTTGGAATCGGGATACTTGTTGTTTTGAACCGAGATGATAATATCTTTCAACTTTCTCACTTCGACAACATAAAAACTAAGAATGATGATTCGTTAATTATTTGATACGTATTCTAATGCATCGTAATTTGAGGGAAGACACTCACAAGAATTTTGGGAACCAATTTGGCTTTCTCCTTTGATAAGGCAGCATGTAAAATAGCTCGATCTCAGCAAGGATCTGGAAAGAAATGTCGCTCAATAAGTTTTTCGAATGGAGATGAAAAGGAAAGGATACATACATCGGCTTTCAGAAGTAAAAAGGATTCGTTGTTACTTGTTATACTGATCGCGTTACTGAGCAACCCAATAAATAAATTTATCAAATAAATTGTAGTGAAGAAGGAAAAAATGACGAGTATGATGATTAAGGTAAAATTTTCAGTTAAAGTCCAAGAAGAGATAGGACTCGAGTCACCTGGATAATGATTGTTTGTTTTCGTGAATTTAGAGAACGAGCAAATCCGAAAAATCCCAGGCATTGTTAAATCAAATACCCGTTAACATTAGATAGACGGCCAGTATTGCAGTAGTGAGTGTGGAAAACATATTGGTATTGCCTTCTGGAGGATCGACCATTGTAAAAGATTCGTTGATGGTGCCGTCAGTAGAAACAGCATATAGTTGAGTTACTAGGTTCCAAGGATTGTTCGGGTCATCCGAATCACTCAGTGTGGTGAAAGAATAATCAGTGGTTGGCCGTAACAGAAGATGTAGGGAATGCGCGAATGCAATAACGATAAATCCTAATATAAGTATAAAGGAAAATGCTTGTCGAGCAACTCCGATCATCATTGAAAAGTAGATTCCAATTCCAAGGGAACTTATGGCTCGAAAGAAGAATAGGAATTTGAGCTCAAGTAATAATGTCGAGACAGCGATCAACCAGATCGGGATTGAACCGTATTCAAGCCAAATTATGGAACTGATCATTGGAAAAAGAAATGCACCTAAATCTAATCAATTGCAGAAATTACGATTTGAGGATTACTGTACTGTACTGTGCCATGAATCTCTCTCTTTTTTAATACGTATATATATATATATATATTCAAATTACCGAAGTAGTTCCACGGACTCGAAATGTATTTTTCCTTGTCGAAAAAGAGCTGACGAATTTCGAAAAAAAGATGCCATGACCCGAGAGCGATTGTTGCAATCAAGAGATTTCGCAAGGTAGTAAAAGAAAATTGACTCGATAAGGTCACCGCCGTGGCAAAACAAACGAGAAAAATTGTGTAAATGAACCAAATCAACAAATAGTACTTTCGCCCGAATGTGTTCCACTTGAAATCCAACAGTGCCTCACCATTCCACCACTTGTAAAGATCAAGTTTATCATATTCAGTAAAGCTATTTGTTTGTGGAATCAACAATTCCCTCAAGACGGAATACTCATTGGGGTAAGTGGCGAGACCAGATAAGGGAAAAATTAGTCTAATTGTTGATTTCTTTTCTTCTTTTTGTACAAATATATTAATGAGGCCAGTGAAAATTGACAAGAGCTTTCTCGTGAATTTAGTAATAACTTTGACGATGACATTTGTGCTCAGAAAGGTGATGAACTTATTAAAAGAACTGACCGAGTAGATGTTCACATATTCACCAAAATATTGTCGGTGTTTATAAGAGGAATTGTGCTCGACTATTTCGAAAGGAGGGTCATCACCAGGTATAAAAAATGCTATCTGAGACAAAAATTTATCGGCGATGTCGGGATAATTTTGGGATAGCTCAACAAAATAATGGGAAACTATGTTCAACAATTGAATATTTGAAATCTCGTCATTCTCTATGGTAAGTTGAATGAGTGCATCCAGTAATTTCTCAATTAATTCGGTCTTGTTTGAACTCAACAACTCTCCCATTATATATTCTCCATAGAGGCCTACTTTAAAAGGATCCTCAAAGTCTTTCATCAATTCCGAATCACCTGGAATTTTGTAGTCAAGTTTTTTGGTAATTATTATGTACGGATCTGGTGTGAGCTCGTGAAAAAAAATATTCTTCTCCTCGCCATTATTGTTCGCAGGTCTCCAGAAATATTGTAATTGTATTTCTTTTTCGGAATTAATGGTCCATATAAATATACCACTACGCGTGACCATGAATAAGTCATCATCTTCGGTAAGCTTGATTGCGATAACATATTCGCTTGCTTTACATCTGTGGCTATGCTCATCTTTGACTAAATAGGCATTACGACTTTCTTCGACTTGAATCCAATCTTGGTGGACATGATCACGCTTTTTTGCGCTAAGCAGAACCTTGTCGGTCGTAAATTTGACATTCCATTTACATAAATTCTCACCATCATATTTCATTTCTTCGTTGATAAACGGTAGAGTGTCGTCATTAAACAATGAGTTGTAAACCTTGTTTAACGAATTCCACATTAGGTTTTCGTTTTTCCTTTCGAGTGGATGCACACTGATCTGGTTAAAGTCTCCGAGTTCGCTCCACAAATACTCGATCCAATTTCCTCTAACCAACCTACGAATACGCAATCTCCCTTCATCAAAAATATAAAAAAGTCTACTATTCTTAATCGTGTGAGGCCAACTTAATTCGCCGATAAGATCTTTGTCGTATTCAGGCATTATTAATTTTTTTGCGTCTATCGGATTGACGAGCGTATATGGATCCAATAAATAAAAATGCATCCTGGATTTCCGGTGGCATACGACGAGCAAACGTTCCCCAATGTCCGGTGCAAGAAAATAACACTCTTTTACATCTCCATCAATAGAACCTGGATACGTGATAAAAAAAAATGATTAAAAGCAAAATTCAAAAATATCAATCAAGGCAACCCACATACTCACAAGAGGCCACGATGGAATACGTTTCCATCGAATAAACGTAAATGAACTCGTATTTCCAAATCGCCAAGAGCGTGTGGCTTTCGTTTATGACAAAGTCCAAGTTATGTGGTGAAAAATTCCATCTTAAAATCCATTGTTTCTCTAGTTTTAAGGTTTTTATGTCCCATTGCATGAGAACATGTATGGCACGATTACATAGAAAAATTTTTCCCTCGGTACTGAGCTTAATGTTGTCACCATCATTATTTTCCGAAATTACAAACTCTTTCTTGCATGTTCCATCAGATGCGGTGAACAGATAACCGGTAGTTTCAGAATAGTTGGTTTCAACAATCACGCAATCTCCATCGGTGAAAAATGTACTGTTGATTATTTCCGATCTTTCATCCGAGCTTCTTAGTAAAAACCATTTCATGCTTGTTAGTTTAACGAGTGCTGGTATTCATGCAAATGTAAAAATTTCGATTGATCGATCGAGTTTCTTTTTCCCGTAATAAAATTCAATTACAGTACGTGGTCTCACTAACCCGCATCACGTCTGGTCCTCAAAACAATGTCTTTGGAATCCGATAGATCGGTTAGTTCGGCTTCCGAAAAGTCTTCTCCAAGTATACCGATATTGAATAATGTCTCATATTGTGGATACTCATGTCCATTGGTAATATGATATATGCAGGCTGATTTGTCGTAATCACTCCAGGTTGCGACATAATTAGATCTCGGGGAACACACAATTTTCGTAATCTCTTTGCCATGGTGAGGTGTATTCTTTTTCTTTTCCTCTTCCGGAATCTCTATTCGAATATCCAAATCTAATGGATTTTCTCGATCACTCATTTCTCATGAACTTTATAGATATCGAACATATCTTAACAAATTCAAAACCCCATAATCCATCGAGAACTTTTAACCCACATGGCTGGTGGCGTCTCAACCGGCTTATTGGGATGTTTGCAACTGATTTCTCTTCCAACAAACAATGATTAGTTTGAAGCCGCAAATATGGTGGCTAAAGGAGGATCCTATGGACATTCTGGTAAGTAGTACGGTACGGTACATCATACAGTAATTGAAGTTATAATTTCGTCTCATACACATCTTGTACGTAATTTCCGATGCTGTGCGACTTGTTTGAGGTACATCGACGTAATGTTAAACTCATGTAAACAATTGATAGATCTTTGAGCTCACACGTCTAATAAACAAATACGGTAAATACTGTAATAATCTTGTTTGTCTGCAATGAGTTTTTTTGATAGTGCTGGACGATTTGTCAAAGAATTTTTCACCGATGACAGCGGAACATTGGCGGTAAACGGAAAGTTTTTTAAACATGGTTCTTCTTCTCGAGTTAGAGAAAACGTGGTCGTGAAATGGTACTTGGACGGAAAAAGCTATTTTTACGCTATCTCCGAGGCACTTATGACTGCAAATGAAGAGATCTTGATTGAAAGCTGGTGGCTCTCTCCAGAATTGGTGAGCAACTTCAATGGGCTACACGTCAAATGTGAATCTTTGCATGATTTTTCTTTTTTTTTTTTAATATTAGTATCTTCGGAGACCTCCATGTAAGAACGAGGAATATCGTCTTGATAAAATTCTTAAAAAGAAGGCCGAGCAAGGGGTGAATATTTATATTGTGGTCTATCATGAACTATCAAAATATTTACCTTTGAATTCGGAGTACAGTGAAAAAGTCCTAAAGGGGCTACATCCAAACATTCGTGGTAAAAAAAATGATATGCCTATATTGTATCTATCATTGCACGGAAGAGTTTTGTTTTTAATCATGCAGTATATACTGTATTCAAATTAGTTCAAAGGCATCCCAGGGACGAGCTTTTTTGGGCGGTAATTACAGCATGTGGGGTTACTTAAGCCTTGTTCCTAGACATCAAGCTAAAAAACTTTTCATCTTCATTTTTAACCTCCAGGTTCACGAGGTATTTGTTTTAATAAATAAATAAGAAATGAGAAAAAAGGTTTTGTCTAAACTCCAAGCAAAATTTCCTTCTCCCAGAAAACAATTGTCATCGATCGTCGTAAATCCTTCATTGGAGGGCTGGACTTGTGCTTTGGGCGTTACGATACTAGTGCCCATCAACTTTCGGATTTCTCCCACGCATCTGAATATTATTCAATATGGCCTGGCCAGGACTATGTTAATTCTAGAGTCAAAGATTTTACTAATGGTACCTATCCTATTGAGCTATGACGTACTTTCATTTTCACCTTGCTCTTATCAAAAAGTAAATTCCATAGTTCAAAGTTGGGCATCGGCTTTACTCGACAAAAAAACGAATGCACGTATGCCATTTCACAGCACAGGAATTGGCCTTGTATGATTTTTTCTTTCTTTCTTTCTTTCTTTCTTCTTTACCAAATGCAGGTTTTTAAATATTCAATCTAAAATTAGACCGGGGAAATTTCGCATGACGTAGCTCGTAATTTTATTCTTAAATGGAACCACGTCAAGGAAAAGTACGCTAATCATGGATATCCGATGTTAATTTCTCAACAAAATGATACGTCTGCTGGAAGAAATATTAGTGAACAATCAGAAAGTGGTTCGTGCTCTGTTCAAATCTTGAAAAGCAGTTCTATGTGGAGCCACGGTGTATCAGAATCTGAGGTGAAACGAATTTGACCATCATTCTTTGCATTCTCTATTTAACTATTTGTTTACCTGTTTTGTCGTTTCTTTAAGCACTCAATTCAAAATGCTTATATCGAAACGATTATGAATGCCAAGCATTTTATCTACATCGAAAATCAATTCTTCATCACCGCAACAGAAGAAAGCGACGATTATGCTGCCAAAAATCTTGTTGGAAAGGTCATCATTAGGCTTTGATGTCGTTATGTATAATTCTGACGCCAGATATTAACAACTATTAAATAAAATCCTTAGGCATTGGTTGAAAGAATTATTAAGGCCTACAAGAACGACGAAAAATTTAGGGTCATAGTTACTATACCCTTGATTCCACCTTTTGCTGGTGAATTCCATAAAGCGGATGCTGCCATATTACGGTACATGTTATGATTTGATTGATTCATTTCTTTTTTTGCGAGTGGTCCTTTTTTTTTAATAAAAGAAAAGTCTCGTTATGCATTACCAATATCAATCAATCTGCCGTGGAAAACGTTCCATAATTGAACGAGTCAAAGCGGCCGGTTGCATCACTCCAGAAAGATATATCGGTTTCTATTCACTTCGAAAATACGACAGAATTGATTATTCGGCCATTCAAAAAGGTCAAGGCGTACTGAAAGAGGAACTTACGGCTCAGAGCTTTATTGATAAATCTGGTTTATCAACTGCCTTTGAAGAAGACTCTACCGGTGCTCACGTCACCGAAGAGATTTTAATTCAATCAAAGCTTCTGATTGCGGACGATAGGATTGTTATAATTGGATCCGGTAGTTTTTTTAAATCTTGTTTCTACTTCCTGCTAACTTTTTAACACTGACCTTTTTTTTTAAAAAAAAAAAACACAGCCAACTTAAATGACAGATCACTAAATGGTGACCACGACTCCGAAATTGCCGCTATTATCGAAGATAAGAATTATGTAGAATCGAGAATGGCCGGTATGAGGGTAAGTTTTGTAACTTTCTGCATCATCTTTGTCACGACAATTAGGCATCAACAATATTTCGTATATTAGTGGAAAGCAGGAAAATTTGCTTTGACACTTCGTCGGGCAATCTTCAAAGAGCATCTTGGCTTAATGAATGAAGCAGATCATGAAACCGCAAATGGTGATTGTCTTCCGCCACCGTCAACTGGTAACGGTGCTTTCGTTAACCCTCAAAAACTCACCTATGCCGACAGGATTGTCGAGGATCCTGTTTCCAACAAGTTTTATTATGATCATTGGCTGCGCACTGCTAATACTAACACCGACGTTTTCCGTAATGTTTTTCATTGCATTCCCGATGATTCGGGTAATCAACGGATGATTTTTTTTTTCATTCAAAGCATTTTTTTTTTTCTCTCACTAATTGTATGAAACCTTCTTCAGTTACTAATTGGGGAGAATATAATGACTTTATCCCCAACAATTCAAAGATCCCATTTGGTCATATTTGCGAGCAAGCAAGACAAAATCATACGAAAACCCGGAAAGAACTGTCCAAGATCAGAGGTCACTTAGTCGTGTTTCCATTGGAATTTATGAATGGTGAGAAATTAGCGGGATCCATGCTCATAACGCAAATAGCACGAGAAAATAGTCCCGCCTCGGGTATCACTGACATTAAAAAATTGGTTGCCTGAATCAATTTGGTTGCAAGGATAAGTAGTACTACAACACATAAAGTTACATACATGCCTACAAGTTCGCCTAATTTATATTCATAATATGAATTTATATTAATATAATAAAACAATCAATTTTGCTAATAATAATATGAAACATTTTTTTTCTATACAATAATTTCATATAATGTATACGATAATAAGTGAAACCAAAAACAATTCTTAATATTTCAATTAAATAATATATTGTACGCATTGTTATACGCGTATTGTGACAATTTATTTAAATTATACCTTTAAACATATAATAAGAAACTTATTTATTTATTATATAAATTTAATAACTTATAGATCTTTATTACATATTGTTATATATTATATTTTTAATTATCATGTAAATTTCAATAAAACATTAATATTTATTTAAAAATAAAAAAAATGACATTTTCAAATCATATAATTCGGTTGTTGAACTATAGCCAAATATATTTAGAATAATCGATAAAAAATATATGTCAAAGCTTAATTGTTTGATTCATTTATGCCTTTTGTATTTAATATAATAACATCATAGCTAGTGTTCCGAATGGGTCAGTTCGGGTCGGGTTCGGGTTTGACCCGATACGACCCGTTTAATAATTTTCGGGTTTGGATCGGGTCGATCATCAACCCGAACCTGACCCGAACCCAACCCGAAGATCATCGGGTCAGGTTCGGGTCAGATTCGGGTTATATATGATAAAATTTGATTGATTATAGAACACTTACTTTCAATTAATTTTTTTCGGGAAACATTTGTTTTTCTACTTGTTTTCTAATTATCTACACTATTTTAATTTCCCATCCATAATTTTCTTGATTTGTTCATTGTTAATTAAATTACACATGCGTTCAAATAATTCATTGAATATATTGTCCGAATATTTGCATAGAAATATAATTTTTTTTTTTCAATTTTAAAAAAAAAAATATATATATATTTTTACCTAATTTTAAATATTATTTTTTTATTGTTAAAAATTATATTATTGAAAATTTTTTTATTATAATAAAATAAAACAATAAGTCTGGCTAATTAAAGCATTAGAAAATAATTTAATTTTTAGTGGCGCAATACTTAAAAATAATGCTATCAATTTATATACTATAAGTAATGCTTATAACTGAGACTTCTTAAATACTTTATGCGCTTGTACTATTATCTTATTTATTAAATTGTATTTACATGAATATTTTTGCTTATATGATAATACCCTTTTCCTGCTGCTTATTTAATTCTCTATTTCTTAATCGCTTTCCAATTTATTTTTCCTACAGACATCTTTGACATCATCATTAGCTCTTAATTACGATTAAGCAATTTATTAAATTTTACATATGTTGGTAAAAAATTATTCAAGTATTAATAAAATTTCATCGATCCAAAGTTTTATATCAATTTACCATATAGCAGCTTGTTCATAAGCCTCTTCTTTCTCAAGTTGAATAGCCCAAGAACAACACAACTCTGATACTACTGGGTCTTCAGGAATAAGCCACAGCTTTGGGAGTGCAATAGCCTCACTGTATAAATAAAAATTGATATATTAGTTTCCGCTTAATCGTGAATTTGAATCTTTCACTTACCGATACATCTCAGCTTTATGTAGTTGTCAATAGCCTTATATATCTCCCCACATGCTAGCCAACGCTTGCAGTCACATTAAAAATCGTCATACATCTCACTCGGCTAAATATTAATATTTTAATATTATAAACGAGTATAAAATAATTTGGTTAATCAAAGCCATCTGCGTACCCAAGGGACTAAGTGCAAGAAGTGTCCAATCTTGATTAGAAAGTTCTTGTTTTCTTCACAGAATCTAACAAAACTAGGAAAATTATTTGACCATAATTCCAGTGGCAAACTTGGATTAACTTATAGACTACCTAACCCAATAGACTGCTCTGAGGAATTATGCGACAAAACTTCAAAATATATATTAAAAAATAAATATAATGAGAAAATTTTTATATACAGGTGATAAAAGGAGAATATTGTGGCTCACCTTCTTTTACAATTAATCTTGTATTATTTCCTTCTCCGAAAAATAAATCTATGGACAATGGACTTTGTTGATCATGATCGTTCAAGCCCTCTTCGTCAACCCAAAATTCCAATTCTTTCGCTAATTCATCACTACATAACCTTTTTACAAGATCGAAAATGTCATATTGAACGTTCTTATGTCGAACAGGTGTTTTTGTACTCAATGGCAGTAAATTTTTCCATTTCTTGTTCTTCTTTGATGTACGAA